AGGAACGCGGAGCCCCGGATAAGGAACGACCGATGGATAAGGAACGACCCTGGCTTGTTCGGACGCTTGCGGGTACAGTCGGGGCGCTGACCCAAGGAACCCGAAATAAGGAACGAGGCCCCTCTTCTCCCTAAGTTGACCTTCGACTTCCGATCGAAAACACAAGGAAAGCCTGAGGCAGGCTGCGAAACACCTAAGGAACATCGAGCCCCTCCCCAACGAAAAAAGGGTTCCTTCTTCAGGGCCCCGACGGCAGGCGCTCTGCGAGCAGTGGCGCGCGCTCGGCGACGGGAGGCCCGCGGCGGGCCCCGCGGCGGGCCCCGCGGCGGGCCCCGCGGCACCGGCTGTTTGCGCTGTGCGCGGTGCGCCGGAGCTCGGGGCCTCCTGGGCAGCCTGGGGGCGCCAGGGCGAGGACAAAATCCTCCTCCTCCTCCTCCTCCTCCTCCTCCTCCTCCTCCTCCTCCTCCTCCTCCTCCTCCTCCTCCTCCTCCTCCTCCTCCTCCTCCTCCTCGGACAACATCGGGCGAGCGATGCTCCTGGGAGAATTGAAGGGGCCGCCCCAGGACACACAGAGAAGCACACACGAATGAAAAGATGGCCCATATTTCCCCGTATTTTGGGGTTCTTTGTCTTCCCCCCCACTTCCCATATTTTTGCAAGTTCTCCTGGGAGTCGACGATTCATTGTGTCTGTGTGTGTTTTTTCCCTCCTGGAGAATCTCTTAGACTGGGCGGCTCCGGGGAAGGCCTCGGGCGCCGCGGCCTCCTCGGAGCGCGCCCGAGCGCTCCGAGAGCGCCGGGGAAGGCCCTGGAAGGGATGTCTCCTCGTCCTGGCTCCGTCCGATCTGGGCAACCTTGAAGGGGCCCCAGGACACACAAATAAATACACACAAATAAAAAAATGCTCCATATTTTCCCATATGTTCTGAGATTCTGTCTGCCCCCGCACTTCCCGTAGTTTCCCATATTTTCGGGGGAATCGAGGATTAATGGTGCCTGTGTGCTTCTTTCCCTCCTGAAACCTGCGGGTCCGCTGGCGGGTCCCCCCACTTGAGCGACGAGTGCCAGCGGGTCTCACGCGAGATGGCGCGGCGGCCTCACTCGGTGGCTGACGCGTTCCGCCAGCGCGGCACGCTGCAGTCGGGGCCTTGACCTAAGGAACGATAAATAAGGAACGAAGCCCCTTTTGAAAAGTACGCATTCCTTATTCAAGCCGCTCACTGTACAGTGGAAGCGAGGGAACTTGCGCTCAACCCTTTGCGGGCAGCTTACGCGCCAGTGTCGGCGCAGACGCCCCCGTTTCTCTGCGTCGTTCACTTGTCGCATCTTGAAAACATCACAACGGATGTTTTGCTCTTGAGCTTCGGCCTTCTGGGGTCCTCGCCAGGCCTCGGGACCGTCACCAAGCAACTCGATATAAAAAACCGGTCCCGGGGAACGGGTCGAGACCTTTGGGGGGGTGGAAGTTAAAAACAACTCGTGACGTCGGGAGTCGTGTCCTCCTCCTCGTTCTGGTGCGGATATGGTGAGAAGATGCTATTGACACCTGGCGTCGTGTAGATTGCGTCCTTATTCTATGATATTGCTCTTTGGTGCTGGCGCTTGGTCTTGATGTATGGTGCTAGTGTCGTAGTGCTGCCGGTGATTGGTGTATGTTCGTGGTGCATGCCATTGATGCAGATTGCAAATTTACGCCGCTGGTGCTAGCCTTGATGGATGCCCTTGATGAAAAGATGTTGTATGTGAACGTGTTGGTCACTTCTGATGCATGTTCGACATTGATGTTTATGGTTGATGCTTGCTTTGATGTATGTACGATGTTGATGCATGTCCTTAATAGGTGTGTCAAGGATGAATGTCTGATGTCTGCTCTTAAAATATGATGTGCTGCTCGTTGTTGGCGTGTTCCCACGGTGTGTCGATTTGTGCATGTTCAGGGCGTATGATCTTGATGTTGGTTCACTGGTGTATGTAGCTGCTGCCTGTGACTGACGCATGACCGTGATGGATGTGTTTGACGCTTGCTCTACGTGTGAACTAATGATACCTGGTGGAGGTGGTTGTTATTGATGTGTGCTCGTGATATCTTGACATGGTAACTGCGTCTGGTTGTGCTTGATGTTGCCTGTGCTCGCGATTGTTGATCTGCTGGCGTGGGATATGTGGCCGTGCACTGCTGTCTGTCACGTGTGCAGGTCACTAATGTCTGTGCTTGATGACTGCTGTTCTGGTTGTCAGTGCTGTATGCCCTTGATGACTGATGTTGACGTACCTTCTTGGTGTATGCGTGCTGGTGGTATATGCTTAGGCTGGGCAGACCCATTCCCAACACCCATTTCCAACATCCTCTTCGGCGGGGGCGAACACGGACTTCGACTCTGCGCCCGACAGACTCAGTGTGACAGGCGCGGGAAGAACTGGATCCTCAATCCTCAAAACCATGAAGCCCCAAACGCCTGGGCTGTGCACAGAACATGGTGCCCAGGAGGCGCTGCTCTCCGGCGGCTTCATTGACCGTGCGAGTCTAGAGGCCTCCTAGATAGGGGTCGGAGTGGTTGGGGTCGGAGAATCGCGCCGCATCGCCGATACGGCGATGCATCGGCGAAGCACCTACGATGCCTCGTTGACATCGGTGATGCATCGGCGACGTCGACGTGAAGCAGATCGGGCCCCACATCGAGCCGCATCGGCGATGCATCGGCGATGCGGTGCGATCCTCCGACCCCATCGAACGGGGGCGCGCAAACATGGATTAGCAATCCATGGATTTGGCGCGCGGTCGCCAAATCCATGGATCCGAGGAAGTGCCCTCTCCAAGATGCGGCCGGTGCCGCCCCGCTCGGCGGCGGGAAGCCGCGGCTTCCCATGGAAACGGGACCCGTCACTGATCCAAGCCCCCTCAATCCATGTTTGCGATCGCCTGGATCTGCTCCGACCCCATCCCAGACATGCGACGTCCTGATTTTTTCAGGACGGCGTCCCTGAAATCCCGACCCTTTCCCCGGGGCAGGTTCTTCATCCTGAATCGTTTTTTGACGGTCCTGGGGCCCGGCGAGGGCCTGTAGAGGCCGAAAACGGCGAAAAACCTACGTCCTGAATTGGACGCCCGAAATGGGCACGGAACAAAAATTGACTGTGCCCAACAACACATGTTGACCCTAACCAACAGCGGCCGCTGTTGGGCAGGCGGCCTTCTGTCTCGAATGGACACAGGCCGCGGCGGCGTGGGCAGCGAGCCCTGTTCAAACCGAACAAGAGCTGCTGTTGGGCATTTTTACCCATTCTTTCTGTGCCCACCTCGGGCGTCCAGATGAATTTGTTGTGCGACGCGATCCCGTCTGGGATCTAGGAGGCCCAAAGAGGGTCGTTGGGGAGGGGGGCCCCGGCCCAGCCGGTCGCCGCCCCGCCGATTCTGCTAATGCGGGCCGGCCGGCGGGGGCGCTCGTCCAGACTCGGCGGCGGAGTCGGCGGGCGCAGGCGGCGCGCGCGGGGGCCCGGCGCGGAGAGCCGGGCGCGGCCAGAGCAGCGCTTTCAGAGAGGCCTCCTGGATGGGGTCGGAGCAGGTGGGGTCGGAGGATCGCGCCGCATCGCCGATGCCTCGGCGATGCCTCGGCGATGCCTCGGCGATGCACCGGCGATGCCTCGGCGATGCATCGGCGATGCCTCGGCGATGCACTGGCGATGCACTGGCGATGCCTCGGCGATGCATCGTCGATGCGTCGGCGATGCATCGGCGATGCACTGGCGATGCCTCGGCGATGCATCGCCGATGCATCGGCGATGCCTCGGCGATGCCTCGGCGATGCACTTGCGATGCCTCGGCGATGCCTCGGCGACGTCAACGTGACGCAAATCGGGCTGCACGTCGAGCCGCATCGGCGATGCATCGGCGATGCGGCGCGATCCTCCGACCCCATCTACTCCGACCCCATCTAGGAGGCGTAGAGCTTTGGTTCTCGTCTTCCGGGGGTGCGCAAACATGTTAGGAGGCAACTGCTGGGAGGTCTCCGTCGGAAGGACCAAAGAAGATTAAGCCCCACTGGGGGGCTGCTACGCCGGGGTAGGCCTCGGACTAAGCGGGATCAAGCGGGATTAAGCCGGATTCGCTGGATTACGGATCATGGCAAAATCCGCCGACCCCTCCCCAAACCCCTCCCCCGGGAGCCTGGTCCGGCCGGTTTGGACGGGGGGAAGGGGGGGGCAAAGGTCTCATCCGGCCCCACGAGGCCCAGAGGGCTCCACGCAGCCCCCACGACGGCCCAAGAGGCCACCGAGACGCCCAAAGAAAGGTCGGCCCAACACGCACAGAATGGCCCCAAGACGGCCCCAGAAGCCTCCCAGACGGATCAAGAAGCCTCCAAGAGCATTCCAAAGAGGGGCCCAGAGGCCAAAATCGTCGAATCCCACCAGCCCTCTGGGCGCAGGTGGTCTAGAGCGTTTCCTTCTCCAACCTCCTGCTTTTCCCTGCTCGGGAGGTTTACCTCCCCCCCCTCCCTGGGTTTGGACGGGGGGGGCCCGACCCATAGCAGCGTCCGAGATGGCTCCAAGAGGGCCCCAATGACTCTAAAATTGCCCCCAAGATGGCCCAAGATAGCGGAAGATGGGTCAAGATAGCCTCCGACACACGTCCAAGAGGCCTCAAGACCCCCAAGACGGTTTTAAGTGCCCTCCGAGGCCTCCAATGACCCCCCCAAGAGGCCAACATTTTTCAAAAATCTAAGGAACATCAATGTGTTGTGCCTTCTCGTTTTTTCGCCTCCTTTGGGCTCTTGAGGCCTCAAAATGGCCCATGGATGGCCCAAGACAGCCCCAAGAGGGGCCCAAGAGGGCCCCAAGAGCGCCCAAAAGCGTTCCAAGAGCGGGCCAAAAGAGCCCCAAGACGGCATGTTTGAGCCTCTGAAAAGGGGGGGGGGCAGGATTTAAGGACCCCCGTCTTTTTGAGCGATAGGGTCCAAGACGGCCCCAAGAGGCCCCCCAGGCACCCCAAAAGAGCCCCAATAAGGCCCCGAGACCCTCCAAAAAAAACCCAAGACGCCCCAAAAGAGTCCCAAGAGGGCTCCAGGGAGGCCCTAAGAGGACCCCAAGAGAGCCCCAAGAAAGAGATCCAGGAGGGCCCCAAGGGAACCCCAAGAGAGCTCCAAGATGGCTCCAAGTGTCGAAACGCACGCGAGCTTAAGATACAAATCAGTGCTACAGCCATTACGAGTCATCGAAACACCGCTCACCCCTCATTGAAGCACCATCGTAGCTTGCACGGATTCCCATCTTAAGCTTCAATGCGAGAAGCTATGTGTGATCCTTGTTTTCCCGAAGACGGCTGCGCCCCTGTTTCAACAACTCCCCTGCAGACCGTTTCTGGATGGGCTGGTGGGGATACGCGAAGCGTCAAGAACTCTTATGGGAAATGTAGATTTCTATCTTGCACGACACTTCGGCCTTCACGGCGTTGAAAACGGCCTCAGAGTCCCCACAAACCGCCCCAAAACGGCCCGAGAGGCTCCCAAGAGGCGCTCGAAACGGCCCCAGAGGGCGCCAAGCAGGCCCAAGAGCGCCCCAAGACGGCCCAAAGAGGGTCCCAAGAGGGGGAGCCGGAACCAACAATCCAAGCTTTCTGCTCCAAAGCGGCCCTTGGGGGGCCCAAGAGGCACCCAACAGGGCCCATGAGGCCCCCAAGAGGCCCCCCAAGAGGCCCCAAGAGGCCCCCCAAAGGCCCCCCAAGAGGCCCCAAGAGGCCCCCAAGAAGCTCAAAAGAAGCCACAAGTCCAGGCACCAAGGATCTCATGCCGACAACCAAGGCACGGTGGAGGGATAGGTCGAAGGCCACTATCTATCGATCTATATATCTATCTCTGTATGTATATATATATGTGTGAATATATATATATATATATATATATATATATATATATGTATATGTATATGTATATATACACACTGCCGTGGACACTACCTCGATCGAGAAGAAGAAGAGGAGAAGGACGAGAGGGAGGAAGAGGAGGAGGAGGAATAATAACAAAAAGAGGGAGAAGATTTCGTCGTCGCCGCCGATGTCTCACAGGTTTTCGTGGTCTTTCGACCACCCGAAGCATCTCCTCGAATTCAGCCTGGAGGAACCGTTTTCGGTGCCAGGGACCACCGGCGAAAGTCCGAGATGAGGATCGACATCCTTGGCTGGCGCAACCCCTTCGCAAAGGAAGGAACACGGGGTGGATCGAGGCTCGAGGCATGAGACTCCTAGTTCTTGGGCCCTCTCCGCCCCCTCTGGGCCTTCAGGAAGCTCCTCGTCGACACAGCTGGGTTCACTCTCGAACTTCTGGCCGGACGCAAACCCAGCTGGGTCTCAACGATCCCGAGCCTATCCAGGAGGTGGAAAAAGGAGGCCTGGGACAGGCCCCGTGAAGGCCCCAAGAAACTCACATAAGACCACGAAAAACTTCAAAACAATCCCCTACAAGGCCCCCCCTTGAACCCCACACGTTACGTAGGACAGGCCGAAACCCCAAGATTGCCCAGCGATCGCGCGCGTTCCGCGAATTCTGTCTTTCACTCTTGCTGCCGACCCAAGGGGCTGGCGGTGCGGCGTAAGCCAATGATCAGAATTTGACCTACCAGGAAATGCATGCGAAAACATGGATCGGCGAGGCATGGATTTGGCGAGCGGTCGCCAAATCCATGCATCGGGGGAGGGGGTTTTCCCCAACAGGCGGCCAGTGCCGCCCCGCTCGGCGGCGGAAATCCGCCCTTTCCCATAGAAACGGGACCCGTCGCTCGTCGCTAATCCACGCCCCCTGAGTCTTGCGGGGATCGTGTTTTCATTCACTTTTTTGCCGATCGGCGCGGGCCCCCAAACGCCCCCTTTCCCCCCCCTCCCATGGAGTAGATCTTGGCTGTTTTTTGGCGCCTGTTTCGAGCGGGTGGAGTCTCCCCCAGAGGCCGCACTCTTACAAACAGTCGCACTAAGCAGAGGTCCGGAGCCAGACCCCCCCTCCCCCCCTTCCGCCCAATGTCGAAACGCCGAATAAAAAAAGCGTTCACGTGTTCGTTGTCCCTCGCTGTGTCTTCGTTCCGCCTTCGCTGCAAAGCGAAGTCAAGACGGAAGCAGTCCACAAAGTCGCCAAAAAAACGCGCTTAGGTCGAGCCCTGGCGGAGAGAGAGCAGATGACTGGAAGGAGGAGAAGGAGGACCAGAGTTGTGAGGCGGGGAGGTGTCCATATCTACCGCCTATGGAAGCGACGTCCTGGGACCCCAGCGACCTATGGATATGGATAATTGTTTGGCCCCGTGGGGTCCGATGGTCCCAGCTCTACCGCATGCCGAGGTCCGCGAAGATCGACTCCCCAGGCGGTGGTTATGGATAATTCCCAGTCTCAGAGAAGAGCAGACCCAAGATGCATCAAAGGTGCTGCAATACGCCCTTCTGTCCCAAGTCCAAAGTAACTGGAGGCGAGGATCCGAACTGTAAAGCGCTCCCCTTCCATCCTTCCTGTTAAGCGAAGATCAAATCAGAAGGATCAACGGACTATTGGACGATAGTTCAGTGTTTCAAAATGCTTGCCCTCCGTCCGTGTAAGCGTTGCGCAATTTAAAAAGGTATTGCCATTACATTGGAAGAAAAGTAAAGCGAAATCCCGATTCTGAAACGGAGCCGCCCCTACCCGTGTAATCGTTGCCAAAGTTCGAAAACCGTTGAGGGAAATGATTCGAGGAAGGCTGAAGCGGGAGACACAGGTTGAAAACGAACCGCCCTCCAGGCAGGCCGCTGCTGCAGACTTGTACCACTAATGCTCGGGCTGCCAACCTCCTTCTCCCTCTTCTTCTCCTCCTCCTCCTCCACCTCCTCCTCCTTCTCCTCCTCCTCCTCGTCTTCCTCCTCCTCCTCCTTCTCCTCCTCCTCTCGTCGTCCTCCTCCTTCTCCTCGTCTTCCTCCTCCTCTTCCTCCTCATTCTCCGCCTCCCAATTGCTCTCCTTCTCCTACTCCTCCTCGTCCTTCTCCTCCTCCTCCTCCTCCTCGTCCTTCTCCTCCTCCTCCTCCTCCTCCTCCTCCTCCTCGTCTTCCTCCTCGTCTTCATCCTCGTCTTCCTGCTCGACTTCCTCCTCCCCCTCGTCTTCCTCCTCCTCGTCCTTCCCCTGTCTTCCTCCTCCTCTTCCTCCTCCTTCTCCTCCTTCTCTGCCTCTTCCTTCTTCCTCTTCATCTCCTCCTCCTCCTCCTCCTCCTCCTCCTCTTCCTCCTCCCCCTCGTCCTCGCCTCCCTCTGCCTCTTCCCCTCCTCCTCCTCCTCCTCCTCCTCCTCCTCCTCCTCCTCCTCCTCCTCCCCCTCAAAGATAGGGCTGAGGTGCGGCCCCCGTCCCCCTGAGGTTAGGTCGGGCATGTCCTCCTACGGGCAGACCAGACTCATAAACCAACTATACTCAAGAATGGCCAACTATACTCAAACTGTACTCATAAACAAACGAACGATCGTCCCGAGCCTGTTGTTGCACTAGTTGAGACTGTTTCTCCTGTAGAGGGACGTGCCCAACTGAACCATATGGTAGGGGGCCGACGTCTACGCATGGTGAGCGTCTTCTGAGTAGGCGTCTCGACATGGGGCGGGCGGAGGAGGGGGGGTGCGGCGCGGTGGGGGGCTGTGGAGATGCAGCCGCCCCTCCCCTAAGATAGGGCGACGGCGTCTATGCATAGTGAGCGTCTTCTTAGTCGGCGTCTCGACGTTGGGCGGAAGGGGGGGGGAGGGGCGGGGGTCTGTGGAGATGCAACGTCCCCCCCATCCATGACAGAGGGCGACGGCGTCTATGCATGGTGAGCGTCTTCTTATTCGGCGTCTCGACATTGGGCGGAAGGGGGGGACGGGGGTCTGGAGATGTGACCCCCCCTCCCCAAGATAGGGCGACGGCGTCTATGCATGGTGAGCGTCTTCTTAGTCGGCGTCTTGACATTGGGCGGAAGGGGGGGAGGGCGGGGGTCTGTGGAGATACAACCACCCCCTCTCCCTAAGATAGGGCGACGGCGTCTATGCATAGTGAGCGTCTTCTTTCTCGGCGTCTCCACATTGGGCGGAAGAGCATGGAAGGGGCGGGGGTCTGTGGAGATGCAACCATCCCCCCCATCCATGAGATAGGGCGACGGCGTCTATGCATAGCGAGCGTCTTCTTATTCGGCGTCTTGACACTGGGCGGACGGGGGGGGAAGGGGCGGGGTCTGTGGAGATGCAACCACCCCCCTCCCAAAGATAGGACGACAGCGTCTGTGCACAGTGAGCGTCTTCTTAGACGGCGTCTCGACATTGGGCGGAAGGGGGGGAGGAGAGGCGGGGGTCTGTGGAGATAGGGCGACGGCGTCTATGCATAGTGAGCGTCTTCTTAGTCGGCGTCTCGATATTGGGCGGAAGGGGGGGACGGGGGTCTGTGGAGAGGCGAACATCCCCCCCTCCCTAAGATAGGGCGACGACGTCTATGCATAGTGAGCGTCTTCTTAGTCGGCGTCTCGACATTGGGCGGAAGGGTGCGGGGAGGGGCGGGGGGTTGTGGAGATGCGACCTACCTCCTTGACAGAGGGCGACGGCGTCTATGCATGGTGAGCGTCTTCTGAGTCGGCGTCTCGACATTGGGCGGAAGTGGGGGGGAGGGCGGGGGTCTGTGCAGATGCAACCACCCCCCTCCCTAAGATAGGGCGACGGCGTCTATGCATGGTGAGCGTCTTCTTAGTCGGCGTCTTGACATTGGGCGGAAGGGGGGGAGGGCGGGGGTCTGTGGAGATACAACCACCCCCTCTCCCTAAGATAGGGCGACGGCGTCTATGCATAGTGAGCGTCTTCTTTCTCGGCGTCTCGACATTGGGCGGAAGAGCATGGAAGGGGCGGGGGTCTGTGGAGATGCAACCATCCCCCCCATCCATGAGATAGGGCGACGGCGTCTATGCATAGCGAGCGTCTTCTTATTCGGCGTCTTGACACTGGGCGGACGGGGGGGGAAGGGGCGGGGGTCTGTGGAGATGCAACCACCCCCCTCCCAAAGATAGGACGACAGCGTCTGTGCACAGTGAGCGTCTTCTTAGACGGCGTCTCGACATTGGGCGGAAGGGGGGGAGGAGAGGCGGGGGTCTGTGGAGATAGGGCGACGGCGTCTATGCATAGTGAGCGTCTTCTTAGTCGGCGTCTCGATATTGGGCGGAAGGGGGGGACGGGGGTCTGTGGAGAGGCGAACATCCCCCCCTCCCTAAGATAGGGCGACGACGTCTATGCATAGTGAGCGTCTTCTTAGTCGGCGTCTCGACATTGGGCGGAAGGGTGCGGGGAGGGGCGGGGGGTTGTGGAGATGCGACCTACCTCCTTGACAGAGGGCGACGGCGTCTATGCATGGTGAGCGTCTTCTGAGTCGGCGTCTCGACATTGGGCGGAAGGGGGGGGGGAGGGCGGGGGTCTGTGCAGATGCAACCACCCCCCTCCCTAAGATAGGGCGACGGCGTCTATGCATGGTGAGCGTCTTCTTAGTCGGCGTCTCGACATTGGGCGGAAGTGGGGAGGGGCGGGGGTCTGTGGAGATGCAACCACCCTCCCTCCCCAAGATAGGGCGACGGCGTCTATGCATAGTGAGCGTCTTCTTTTTCGGCGTCTCGACACTGGGCGGAAAAGCGTCGGGGCAGGAGCGGGGGTCTGGCTCTGGTCCTCTGCGTCATGCGACTGTTTGCAACAGTACGTCCTCCAGGGCGACGACATCTACAGACAAGCGCATCCCACTACTCGCACAGCAACTGCTCGCGGAGGGCCTGGATCCGCCGCGGGGAGTTCACGATCCATGACAACGAGGCCAGCATGTGGTTTCCTGACGTTTGCGAAAGGGCACTTTGCGAGTAGTGGAACGCGCTCGGTGAATCTATACACATCCACTGCTCTCTGGCCAGGCCCATCTTGACCTCAACAGCGGTGTATCCGCCCTGGCCAAGGGCGACGTTGAATATGCTGTACATGCGAATCGCTGGCACCGCCCGATCCGCTAGACGGGGACGCCTGAGTTGTCGACTTTGAAATCTTCCTGCCCTCCCTGTGAGGGTTCGCCAGGCTGAAGGGCGAGCTGCTCGAAGGAGACTGCACCTCAGATAGCACGCGAGAGCACCGGTATAGGTCCTCCAGAACGTCTGAGGAGCATCCGGGCAGCCTCATCAGCTTCCAAGAGAAGCCCTCATACACCACAACGCAAAGGCGGTTATGCGTGAGGCGAACACAGCTCCGAGGTGATCCGCGGGGGCTGCAGATGAAGGAAAAGGCCCTCCATAAACCCACTACGCAGCGGGTCATCCAGTAACCGAATTCTGGCTCGGACTGCGTATGCACACGCTCGCTCTCTGTCTCTCTCTTTCTGGACCTGGGAGACATCCGAAGACTTCATGCAGAGATCCAGACTTAAGTCGGGCATGTCCCTCTGGAGGATGAATATTCAAAAATGGTAAAAAATGGTTTGGAAACGATTGTTTGACTATTGTTTGGCTGCGTGTTGACTAGTTTATAATTTTCCTCCAGAATCCGCCTGTAGGAGGACATGCCCGACCCCAGACCTCCGATCCGGGCCGAGAAGCCCACCAATGACCCATCCCATGAGCTCCTGCAGGCAGGCAGGCTCTCCTCACCTCCCGGGACCCTAGGCCACGCAGCCAACTTCCCCATGGGTGTCGTGGGAGCTGCACGAATGCACACCACGAGTAGGTTGGGCATGTCCTCCTGCAGTGGGATTTTGGAGGAAAACTAAAGGACAGTCCAAACATGCTCAAAAGTAAGCAAAAAATGCTCAAAACTTGTCCCCATAATATTTGACTACTTTTGAATATTCCCCCTGTAAAGGGATACGTCCGACTTCAACCAAGTGGTGCGGGCTTTCGCCTGGAACATCGTATACGTACCGTATTTGTCGAGCGTCTCACGCTCGCGAGCCTGCCCCGAAGAATGCCCACTATACTGTCCGCGGTGGCGAACACGATACCATCGGAGGCGTGGAAATGGGCACCAACACCAACACCAACACCGGGGTCCGCCTCAGCCGGGGCAAGCTGACCCTAGGTTTAGCCCGGGCATGTCCCCCTACAGGTGGACTTCGGGCGAGAATCCCACCAGCCCTTTGGGCGTGAGTGGTTTAGAGAGCCCGCTCTGTCCTCAACCCCCCTTATTCCCCTTCGGGGAGGGGTTTACCCCTCCCCCTACCCCCTCCCCCTGGGCCTGGAGAGGGCGGGCCGTGGGTCGTCAGGGGAGTCTTTTTCGACCCCTGGGAGGGCCAAAAAACGACGACCCTCACGAGGATTCTGGCCCCGACGGGGGGACCGAGTTTGGCGCCTCCGCTCGTCTTTGAAGCAAAAATCATTGATTTTACTACGGTTTTGGCCCCATTTTGGGCTTCTGCGGGGGCAGCGCTCATCGTCCTTCATAGCAAAATCATTGATTTTACGAAGGTTTTGGCCTCATTTTGTCCTCCTCAGGGGGCAGCGCTCATTTGCGCTTCTGAGGAGGTCGCAAGAGGCCCCAAGATGGCCCCAAGAGGCCCCCAGGAGGCTCCCAAGAGGCCTCCAAGAGGCCCCCAAGAGGCCCCCAAGAGGCCCCAAGAGGCCCCCAAGAGGCCCCCAAGAGGCCCCAAGAGGCCCCAAGAGGCCCCCAAGAGGCCCCCAAGAGGCCCCCAAGAGGCCCCCAAGAGGCCCCAAGAGGCTCCAAGAGGCCCCCAAGAGGCCCCACGAGGAGCCCGAACGACTCACACCAGGACGAGGGGCCCGAACGACTCACACCACGAAGAGCCCGAACGACTCACACCACAAGGAGGGGCCCGAACGACTCACACCAGGACGAGGCGCCCGAACGACTCACACCACGAGGAGCCCGAACGACTCACACCACGACGCGGGCCCCGAACGACTCACACCACGAGGAGCCCGAACGAGTCACACCAGGAGGAGGGGCCCGAACGACTCACACCAGGACGAGGGGCCCGAACAACTCACACCACGAGAAGCCCGAACGACTCACACCAGGACGAAGAGCCCGAACGACTCACACCACGAAGAGCCCGAACGACTCACACCAGGAAGAAGGGCCCGAACGACTCACACCAGGACGAGAAACCCCAAACGACTCAAACCACGAGGAGCGCTTTCTCTCCCTCCTCCTCCGCCTCGTCCTTCTCCCGCTCCCCCCACAAGGAGGATGTACAAGGAGGCGGGAGGAAGGAGGAACAGGGGAGATATGCGGGGCCAAGCGGACACACGCCTGAAAAACACGACTGTCGGCATGCTTCGCAAGAGTTGCTGCTGTGAGATGGGCTGGTGGGGATACGCGAAGCGTAAAGAATTAAAACATGCTCAACACATATTGAAACATAAACAAAAATAGTCGGACAAATCGTACCCAAACTATTCTTTGACTATTCTTGAATATTCCTCAAGTAGAGGGACGTGCCCGACTTAATGCTGGTGGTCATATTTCGGCCGCCTCGGAAGTCCGAACCTTACCACCAGCACCGGGACCTGGATTCTCCTCCCCTCGGCGGAGGCACACCGACAGCTGTGGTGTTGGCGTCCGCCTCTACCAGCGGAGGCAAGACCACAGGAGACCTCCCACAAGAAACCCAACCCTTAGACCTTAGAGGCCTCCTAGACAGGGATCCGAGTGGATGGGGTCGAAGGATCGCGCCGCATCACCAAAGTATCGCCGATGCATCGGCGACCTCGGAGATGCATCGGTGACGTCGGCGTGGGGAAACACGGGCTCCACATCGAGCCGCACCGCCGAGGCATCGGCGATGCGACGCGATCCTCCGACCCAATCTACTCGGCTCCCACCTAGGACCTAGGAGGCTCAGAAGGACGTCCGTGGATTCCTTGGGTGGGAAGGGCACGCTTTACAGCGCAAAGCTCTCGAAACCCAGGAAGCCCACGGGCACCCTGGAGGCGAGCAGGGTGCTTCTTGGCATGGGCCTTCACCGTAGGGATTCTTGGTGTGGGAAGGGGACGCTGTCCAGCGCAAAGCTCTCGAAACCCGAGAAGCCCACGGGCAACCTGGAGCGGGGTGTTTTTCTTGGCATGGGACTCCACCGCAGGCCTCCGATATACTTACGTCGGACGTGTCCTCCTACAGGCGGACTTTGGGCGAGATCTTAAGAAATACATAGCACATCTTCCCAAACTACTCAAAACTAACGAACGAACCGTCCCTAGACAATGTTTGTACTGTTTTTGAATATTCCTCCCGTAGAGAGACATGCCCGACTTAACGGTGTAGCTTTGGACGCCCGAAATGGGTACGGAAAAAACGGGTACAATGCCCAACAACAAATGTTGTTCCAAACCAGCAGCGGCCTCTGTTGGGCAGGCGGCCTTCAGTCCCGAATGGTCACAGGCCGCGGCGGCTTGGACAGCAAGTCCTGCTCAAAATGAACATGATCCGCTGTTGGACGTTGTACTCCAGATTTCGTTTTAAAAGGGAGGGGAGCACAACCCTCCCAGACGAGAAGCTTTAGACCCCCCCAGACTATCCATGAAAGGGCGGCCCTTTGCCTAGACCCCAGCGAGCCCTCCAAGACAGCTCAAATCGTATCCCCCAAAAAATGTGACCCCCCCACTGTATTATGGAATCCAGAGTACCCGTTCTTTCCGTGCCCATTCCGTTCGTGCAGAGTAGCGAGGACGCGGGCCGAGTGCGCGGGGCCGGGGGCCGGCGGGCCTTGGCGGGCTGCCTCGGGGAGCCGTGGCCTGGCTCGTGCACTCGCGGAACTCGTCGATCGCCTCGGAGGAAGTAATTACAGGGCAGTGTTTAACGCATGAATGTTTAAGAATATAGGATTTCTAATACATGATCAGTTTATGAATAAATTGATGCATGAACTCATCGTTATTTTTGATACTGGATCCCTGCATGTTTTCATACATGATCCGCAAGCGGGGCGTATTAAACAACGGCTCTGTAGGCGTGCTGCCGCCGCTCCAGCTATGACTATCAACAAAAAACGAACACTTTCGGAGGAGGGGAGCCTGAGTTAGGAGGGCCAGACCATCAAGGATAGAGAGGCTCCTCTGTCTGCAACTGTGCCAGGCCAAACCGCTGAGGCGTATCGACCCTGGTGCGAAGACGGGGACCTCCGTGAGGCCTCGTCTCGACTATGTGATTCGGGTAGGAATCTTCTCTCCTTGATGAAACTGACGAGCTCAGTGCACACCCCGACCCAACTGCCTCTAACACTCTCTTGCGACTGCACCCCCCTTCGACTCCTCTGTCTGCCACGAAAGACGTGTGTACCGCATTGCTTGCTCGGCTCACGTGTCAGAAGTGTTCGCACTTGAAGCCGCATCGCACCAAACGGTCTAAGAGATGACTAGGACTGCAAAGGCAGCCCACAGTACAGCCAAAGCCTACCACGACAGTCGGGATCTTCAGAACTGACGGCCGCACCTCTGCCCGGGGTCTCTCCAAAGTCGGCAGCGGCCAAGACGGGGGGGCCATCCGAGAGAAGGGCGGTCGCCAACAGCGGGCCGAGGCACGTGCGCGGCCCGGGGGGGGGGGGGCCAGGGCACGTGCTGGAAGAAGAAGAAGAAGAAGAAGAAGAAGAAGAGGGGGCCGTGCAACCTGGTGAGACGTCGTGGCCCGGGCCAGGACATCCGCACGCCCCTAGCCGTCCCCCCCCGCTGCGCCCCCGGCGCGGGAGGGCCCCGGCGCTGTCTGGCGCGGCGTCCGTGGAGGGGCCGGCGGAGCCGGCGGGACGGGCGGGGCGGGGCGTGGCACGACCGTCGCCGAAGCAGCCAGGTTCGCCGGAGGCCGGCGCGGGCGGGCGCCGCCTCCCCGCGGGCGCCAGCGGGCTGTTTGACTACCTACCAGACCACCCCAACCCAACCCGACCCGAAGACCCAAATTTCGGGTTGGGGGGGGTAAGGGTTACACATGTGTTTTTGTCGATGTTTCCCGACCCCCCCCCCCCTGGAAATCGAGGGTAAATCTGAGCCTTCGGGTTGGGTTGGGGTGGTTTGGTGGGTGATGACTGTTGGGGTTGGCGCTGCGGGGAGGGGAAGGGCACGCTCCCCAAGACCCACAACACAACGCGGTTGGTCGATGGCCGGGGCGGTCGGGCTCGGCCTCCCTGAAAAGGGCAAGTGCTGGGGGGGCTGGTTGAACTGGGAGGTCACGAACCGTTAAGGATAGCATGGTTCTGCCACGCTTGGCGCGGCCTCCCTGGAGAGGCCCGTGCAATGCGGCCGTGGCGAAGCGTGGGCCTGGGAATCAGGGCGTCTTTTGCGGAGTAGTGGGGCGGCTGGCACTGGTACGCCATGGTTTGTGTTGCGGGGTTGCGGGGAAAGGAGGAGAGAGAATGACAAATGCCCCAAGAACACAAAACCCCCACTCGGGTGGGAAACAATGCGCAAAAGCCTCTGATAGCTGGACCCCCCATTCTCGTCGGTCGACGCCGAGACTCCTCATCTTCATGGTCGTCGTTCTTTTCCTCCGCCTCCTATTCCTCCGTCCCCACCTCCCCCCACCCCTCCTCCGCCACCCCGTTGTTGTTTTCTTATGTTGACCGGCCTTTATCTGCACAACGGCTGCATCAGTGTAAGAATTTGCGTAATAACGACCCACGCGCAGTAGCTGACAAGTTCGACCGATGTGGGCGCGGGCGAAAAAGAAAAAGGGCCACCGAGAGACGAACATAATTGGAAACCCGCCAACACATAGAGCGTACACCCCCCAGGTCGGGCACGGGGGAGATGGAGGTGATCAGACCCTGCAAAGAATATCGACGTGCAAAGGAGTAGGGAAGGTCGAACAACTGCGCGGGCGGCAACTGTACGGCGGCGGCGCTGGCGCCGTGGAGTCTGTCGACCAGCCAGGCCCCGAGCAACAAAGAATGCTGCACGGGTGCGTGCTGACACGCGGTGCAGGGAAACGCCCAGCTCTCCTAGCGACGCTCCCCCGCGAACTACCCCGTCTCAATCGTCCAAGGCCCACCCAAACTCTGATTGGTCATGCGCACACAGGTGGTCACAAAAGCGGGACACTGCGTGGCCAACGCGGCAATGAACATGTCCCTCTGGCCTCAATGGGCCAATGGGTACGCCAGCAAAAAGGCCGGCTCTGCGGTTCCTCGGAGGGCGGGCTCACCTTCTCCGCTTTGTGGCTGGGGCGAAGTGGTTTGGGTAAGCGAGTATCCTCAAAGAGAACAGGGTAATTTTTAGATGCGACTGTCAGGTGAAGTGGATACTGTTCGTGGGCGCGTTAGCTGGGTGAGAGAAGCGAAGTGAGGCGCAAAGCAACCAGGCTGGCAAATACGAAGCAAGCAGCTGGCTCTGCTCGGCCAGCGGGCGGTAAAAGGGGATCGCGATGTGCAAGGTGGATGGCTCGAACATGGACGGTGCCAGGCCGAGGGAAAAGCAGTTCGCTCCACCCTGGAGGGAGCACAGCAGCGTGCCCCGACTGGGCATGCAGCACAAATAAAGGCGGCGCAGGCGCCCATGGATTAGCTGCCGAATGTGCGCCATGACAGAGGCGGCAGATCAGATTGTGAGCATGAAAGCCGAGGTTTTGGTCTCGCTGTAGGTGCAGAAATGAGGAGGAGCGCCAGGGCCTCAGCGAGCCCCCGAGCCCTGCTCAGTAGTTGGGCGCGGGGCTCGCTAAGCTGAGCTCAGCTCGGTGGCTGGGCTTAGCCCATCGAGCTCGGAAACTGAGCCGAGCACGGCGAACCCCGAGCGACAGGACAGCGCACGGCAGCTGCAGACTGCGCGAAGGGAGGCAACGGCGAAGACCATCATGGCGCTGCGAGAACCACGAGATTAAAAAGGAGGCGCAGCGGAGGCCAGTCAACAAGAAACCTCCCACAAGAAACCCAGTCCTGAGACCCCAGGGCGCCCATTGAATTTTGGAGCGGGAACGTCGCGCTTTCAATGGCAAAACCATCGAAACAAGAAACCAAGCGCACCCCGGAGGCAAGCAGGGCGTTTCATGGCAGGGGCCTCCGCTGTGGAGGGAACGCATGCAGCAACAGCATGAGTTCGGCGAGCTGCAGGGAGAGCACGGAGGTAAAGCATTGGGGCTGCCTCGCGGCGAGGGAGCTCTCCCGACGAATCAAATGGAAGATAGCATGAATGAGCCGCGCGCTGAAAGATTCGCACTGTAAGGACTCGTCTGAAGACCGTCTGCACCCACCCACCCCACCAATACTGGGGGCCGCCACCCTGGCACCTCTCCCGGGCATGCCCAGCGGGGCGGGGCTCGCGCCCGGGGCGCGGGGCAGCGGGGCTGCCCGCCCAGGCTCAGATTTGGGCGCAGTTGCGTGCGTCGGCTGCGCTGAAACTGCCGCCGCGGCGACGACGTCGGCGGCGTTGGCAGAGCTGTCGCACTGCGCGCGCAGACCTCGCCGCGCCCGCATACATCTCGCAGGCTGTCGGAGAGGTCGTTTTTGGGGCGTCGGCGGATCGGGCGCGGCGGGGTCGAGCCTGCTGGTCCGCCGTCTTGAAGGGGGGGGGCGGGGCCTCGGGCGGGAATTAGGCTCCGACGGCAGCTGTCGGGCGCTGCGAGGCCGCGTTGGACTGTGCGCGGGTCAGGCAAAGTTTGCCGTGGATGCGTTCAGTGATGGTACGACTAGTGGGCTATGGGCGGTAGTCAGTGGTGGAAGTGGCACCCTTGGCGCCAGCTGGCAGGCGGGGCTGGGCCGTCGCGGCTGCCGGCGGGCAGAGTGCGCGTCTGATGGCGTCGGGCTCGACTGGTTGCTCTTCGGAATTGCCTTCGTGGTCGCCGCCGTCGTCGCTGGAGTGTCGCCAACGTTGCCGTGGATGATAACTGGGTCGTCTTGGCGGATCTCAAGAACGGCTGCCATTGGTGGGGCGTCTGGCCAATTTGGTCCCACGATGCGAAAAGGACGCGCGCGCGGGCTGAGATGCTAGCCAGCATCGTCGTCTCGGCCTCGCTGGAAATCCTGTTAGTGGACTAGTTGGCGAGCGCTAGTCTGAATCTGAAGTCGCGATCGCGCCGGCAACGCGGCCGCGGCTTCTGTCGGCGCGCGAAGCCGTTCGCCCGGCAGGCGCGGCGCCATTGCGCTGAAGCCGAACATGCAAGTCCCCCTTGGAAGGATCGTCGCACTGGGTTCTGGCGGGCGCAGGGGTTTGGAGTCGGAGCGGCAGATGCGATTCGGCGCGCGACGGGAGGTCACCAGCGGCATGCGCCAGGGCATCTGCGCCAGCGGTCAGGCGCGCGCCGCCTGAAAAAAAGCGAGAGGCGCACAGTTCGCGCGCCGCGTTGCCGCCGCTGGAAATGAGCGCCCGTGAAACTGGACAACGCGCGGCGCACGTGCCGCCAGGTGGTAATCGCGCGAGCGGCTGGACTGCGGGGGTCGGTTCTGCGTCGCAGCTGACATGCGAGTCAGTCTCGCAGCGAGAGAATGCGCGCAGCTGGCGCGCCCGGTTCTGGCACGCGCGCCGCGGGAAGGTGGGGGGCCCGGTTGCGTCGAGCGCGGGCCTCGCGCAGGCCCTCATCGAGCGCGGCTCGAGTGCGCCAGCGGTGGGGGGGGGCACTTCGGCGAGGCATGGGCCCGCTGCGCGGACAGGGCGCGGGGAGCAAGTGCGCTCGCGGAATGCCGGCCAATTCGGCGTCGCGAGGGCTTCAACGCAGCGCGGCTTCTCGCGCGCGCCGGGCGGCGCCGCGCGTCTGCGCGCGCGGTCGGCGACGAGCGCTGCTCATGGCGGGCGCGAGCTTCCAGCTCCGGATGCACAAAGGGCGTCGGCTAATATGTTCGTGGGCGGTAATAACTCTGGGCGCGCGACGTGGCTGGCGGGCTGGCGAATAGCGCGCGCCGCTGTTCTCGTCGACGAAAAACTCGCATCTCTTGGCGACATGCTGATTGCAAACGTTGATATTGTACATTTTATCGGCCAGGTCGTGGAAGTTGCCGTCCTCGATGCGGCTGGGTTCCTTCGGCCGTCCTCTTTTGTGTTGCGCAGGATTTTTGAATTCACGCCATGGTAGGTGCGCGCTCTACCCGTTGCGTAGTTGGCTGTGGCGCGGCTCCTCGTCTGCATAGGGGTTGATTGTCTCTGCGCCCTTGGTGGGTGGGTTTGTCCAGCGTGCAGCGATGCCTGCGCGGTAACGCCGTTGGGCCCGTGAGAACATCACTCGGGCTTTCGGGGTTCGAATAGCTGGAAGCACATTGGAGGCTAGTCCACAAGAAACCTTCCACGAGAAACCCAACCCTGAGATCCCGGAGCGTGCATTGAGTTCTGGTGAGCGCGTCACGTTTTCCATAGGAATACCATCGAAGTCCAAGAAGCCCAAGGCAATCTGGAGGCAAGCAGGGCGTTTCTTGGCATTGGTATGGGCCCCCACTGTAGCTGGAAGCGTGGCTGATGCCGCGTAGGTAGGCAATGCTGACGCGGGCGGGCAGCGTGGCGCGTGCCCACCATTCCCTGGCGAGACAAGGCAACTCACGGCCGAGGGCGAAGGAGGTGTAGAGGTAGCGGGTGTTGGGTGACTCGCCGGGGATGGCGCGCTGTTCGTGATCTTGCGACTGTGCACGAATAGGGGACAGAAAATCCACCCCCATTACAACCACCCCGACAAGCGAAGCCGATGAGTAAACGCACACAAGAAAGGAATCGAGAAAGGCAGGGCTGTTCATTAAACGCCCAGGGCCAGGTAATAAACGTCAATTGTCAGGTCCAGGCGGTTTTTCCTCCCTTGAACGAAGAAGGAGTGCCGACGAAGGGCCGAATCCAGGCATGGGGGTAGCAATGTGGCGCGATGCTTTGCTGGTGTCGGCCCTCGTCGTGGCACAAAGTCTGGTGACAGGTTTTTCTCCCCGTTGTCGGTGTGGATGCTGGAGGTTCTGCAGACGTCTTGGAGTGATATTTGTGTTGTCCCTGTTTGGTCGTTGTCCTGCTGGATTGAGTAGGTCATGTATCTGATTGGGGTGTTCGGGGCGTCTAGCCAGAGAGTCCTTGTGTGTTGCTCAAGCCGTCGATGCGCATGCACAAACACCCATCTGAAAGTGATGGGGCTGACGTTGCAGATGTACGGTCGTTCATGACAACGGCCTGGCGCATGGAAATCCTCACGACATGTTTAGTTACCTTGAGATCAACTTGAGAATTGTGTGCGCTAAGACATGTATGGTGTGAACAACGTACAGGGTGGTGATCACAATTATGCTGTTGCTTCTGATGATGATGATGATGGTGATGATGATGATGCTGATGATGATGATGATGATGATGATGATGATGATGATGATGATGTGTTGTGCCGTTCCTTCTTCCTCCCAAATTTCTGAACGGAGCATGTACGAATATGGCCGGGCTCGGAAATGTCATCATGGTGGTGTAGTGGTTGGGGGTGTGCTGCATTTGGTCGTGTTGTTTACTGCCACGTGCTGATGGCTGGTGCGATGCCGGCTGTATTGAATGCGGTCGGTGGTGGGGTTGTGGCGACTTAGGTTGGAGGTCAGTAGACTGGGTGCTGGCATTTGTGCTAGCCGAATCTCCTGGAGTTTAACTGCCCAGCTTTTGGTTGGTATTGGTAGAGTTGTGCTACTACCCGAGGCGGGCAGTGCGTTGGTGGCAGAAGCCGATCACGAGTGTTCGGGGGCAGTTCTGGTAGATGGTTTGCTGTGCGTCGTTGGGCGGTGTTGGGGGCCAATCGATGCAAGCATCGCCCCCCTTGCAGACCCCTCCCAACAGGTGTGCCCCGTGGGGCTCCCGTGCAGGGTGCGGGGCGGGCGGTAGACTTGAGGCCCAAGTCGTAGTCATCCTGAGCGCTCGCGCCCGCCCCCCAGGTGTGCCGCGCCCCGTCGGACCACCACGACTCTGCCACCCCGTGCCGATCCTCTGGCGAGGCGGTCCGGCTCCCGATGGGCCGCGCCGCGCGCTGCACAAGGGGGGCACGAGGCACGAAGGGGGCCGGACACGGGAAGGCAGCCCGCCGCGGAGAGGAGCACGAGGCCTTGCTGGAGCGGCCTGGGCGGGGCTGGCCAACCCTTCCCAAACTGTTGTCTGGAGGGGGGGTCCGCCCCCGCCTCGGCACAAAGACTGGCACCTCTGCTCCTTGAGTGGTCAACCGCTGGGAGCACGAATGTCCGAAGGCCCCTCGTCTTCTCCCTCCAAGTCCTCCTCCTTTCCGTCCTCGTCTCCGTCGTCGTCGTCCTCCTCCTCCTCCAACTCACAATCATCATCAGCAGCATCATCACCATCACCATCACCATCACCATCACCATCACCATCACCATCACCATCACCAGCATCATCATCATCATCATCATCATCATCAGCATCATCATCACCAGCATCGTGATTAGCATAGCATCATCATCAGCATCAGCATCAGCATCATCATCACCATCACCATCACCATCATCATCATCATCAGCAGCATCATCAACATCATCCTTGGCACCGCTTGTGGGGCGGCGGGCGCGTCCTTGAACGGGTGGTAGGCCGCCTTGCCCGCGGGACAACCGTCCCAGCAGCCGCAGAGCTTGTCGCACACCAGCGAATGCGCGCTGTCATCCTCAGCCGTTCCTCCTCTTCCTCCTCCTCCTCCTCCTCCTCCTCCTCCTCCACCTCTCCCCCTTCCTCCTCCTCCTCCTCCTCCTCTTCCTCCTCCCCCTCCTCCTCCTCCTCCTCCTCCTCCTCCTCCTCCTCCTCCTCCTCCTCATTGTGTTCCTCCTCGTCGTCGCCCTTCTACTCTTCCTCCTCCCTCTCCTCTCCCGCCTCCGCCCTTTTCCCTTGTAAAGAACTCCTCCCTCACTCCGAGGCGCTTTGGTAGGGCGTGCTGGGCGTTTCGCCTGAGACTTCCCCGCCAAACATGACCCTGAAGCTTAAAATTACAACGGTTCCACCGATAGAAGGCGGGCCGTTTTCAACACGTGGCTCTCCGCATAAACTCCGCGCGCATCTGTTTTGTCCCAACCATCCTGTGGTGTTGGGTCGTTGTTTTGAAGAAACGGTCCCCGCGTCCTCCTCCCTCTTTTCTCCCCTTCCCCCCTCCTCCTTCCGCCCTGCGTTTCACCCTCCCTGTATAATTTGTTGTGGCCCCATTTAGAGGAAAAAGAATTATGCACATACACCGATTCTGGCCAGGCCCATCCTGAGCCCAGGATCGGTGCATACGCCCTCCTACCTTGGCCAGGAGGGCATATGCACCGATCCTGGGTCAAGGATGGGCCTTGCCAGGATCGATGCATGTGCATAGTTCTCTTCGCCCGACCATTGAGATTCCACCGAACCCCCCAGTGGGACCGACGGCATGCGCCCCGGAAGCCCAACTTGGCATTTTCACCCACACTGTACAGCGCTTCGTGACCCCATAGGGAACCCCACCGAAACCCCCAGTGCGACCGCCCGCATGCGATCAAAAAACCCAAACTGGGATTTTCACCCGCCCTGTACAGCGGCTCGTGGCCCCAATGGGAGCTCCACCGAAGCCCCCGGTGGGAACGCCCCCGTGCGTCCCGGAAACCAAATTTGGCACTTTCACCCACCCGGTACAGCGCTTCGTGGCCCCATAAGGCGCTCCACCGAAGTCCCTGATGTGACCGCCCGCATGCGTCCAGGAAGCCGAATTAGGTATTTTCGCCCCCCAATGCAGCGGTTCGTGGGCTTAGCTCCACTGAAGCCCCCAGTGGGACCGCTCGCATGCGCCCCACAAACCCAATTTGGCAGTTTCATCCACCCAGTACAGCGTCCCAATGTGGCAATTTCACTTAGACAGTACAGCGTTTCGTGGCCAGATGGGAAACCCGACCGAAGCCCCCAACGGGACCGTCCGCATGCGTCCCGGAAGCCAAATTTGGCACACCCCTCGGGAAGTTTTCTCTGAAACCACCAGTGGGACCGCCCGAATGCGTCCCACACACACACACACAGAATCTGGCACCTTTTCCCGCCCAATACAACCTTCGCCAGGATACGGTTTGAAAGTATACACACACACACACATATATATATATATATATATATATATATGTATATATATATATATATAAATATATATATATATTACAAGGGCACCATGGTTCCGAAGGTGGGGCCCGCGTGAGGATCCTGTCGTGCACTCCGGAAATAATCCTCATCGTCGCGCTTGTGTAGCGGAATCGTGCTTACTTTCTCCTCTGCGCCGTTATCCTTCAGGCTTTCCGCCGTTCGCCCGCGCCTTGAAACTAAAAAGACACGATGGTGGCCCGTTGCTGCTGCACGAGCCCCAACTTCTTTTGCTCGTTCGTATTATTATTCGTTCTATGTTTAACAGTTCCATTCTTAATCATTTTCGCATTAATGCTATAGTTCTTCGCCCTACGGTCAAGCAGCCACAGATAGATTGCACACGGGGACTTCGAAGCGCAATCTAAGCGGGGGTCGTACAAAGCGAGTTTCTAAGACGGCGTGCAATCGATACGCCTTTCTATGGGCGCATGGCGTGCACGTCGGAAGTCGTTCCCCCCCCCCCGAAAAAAACGGATATGAAAACGTTTCAAATGCCAGGCAAACAACGTTTAGCGCGCACCTGTGTTTTCAGCACGTTTTTCCGCCTTTTCAGCCTCCGCCAGTCCGAACGACTTCTGCCTCCTCCTCCTCCTCTTCCTTCTCCGCCCCATCTCCCTTCTCCTCCCCCTCCTCCTCCTCTTCCTTCCCCCCTCCCCCCTCCTCCTCCCCCCCCATGCTCCTCCTCTTACTCCCCTTCCTCCTCTTCCTTCCCCTCCTCCTTTTCCTCCTCCTCCTGCACCTCGTCCTCGTCCTCGTCCCCCTCCTCCTCCTCCTCTTCTTCCTCCTCCTCTGCTTCCTCCTTTTCCTCCTCCTCCTCCTAGCGCAGGGGCAGCCGAAATGATGCCAAGGACAAAGCCGGGATGGATGGGGGGAAGAGGCAGGGGACAGGAAGGGGAAAAAGGAAGAAGGGGAGAGGGGACGGAGTGGGGGGGTAGGGGATGGAGTGGAGAGGTGTGCCATATTGTATTCGTATAGCGTGCAGCGTGGAGGTCTGGTGCAAAAACGCACAGCGTGCAACATCACTTCGAAATAAACAACACGAATTAGAATGCCCGCGCGGCGTCTGGTTTCTTTGGCATGTCTATCGGAACGGAATTACGCCGGCGAGTCGGCGTATACCGTGTACGCGGTTGAGTCATTTGTTGTCCATCGAAGGGGTCTATCCGTGGCTACTTAACCGTAATATTCTCGTTAATATGTTTTATAAGCTTCTTCATCTTACTCGTGTTGTCCTTCCTCTTCTTATTATACAGCTCGTCCTGCACGCGCGTGAACCGAACTTCTATGCCGACACTTGCTGGCAAGACGACGTTGCTGTCCCCCGTGTTCTGCGTGTTCGGGACGTTAAAAGGGTGCCGGCCCGCGTCGGGATCGCCCTGGATTGTGCTGCGCTCGTTGACGGTATTCAAAGAAACGAAGGTCACGCCCAGGCGCCGCGCGTCGCGACGAGCGCGCGCTGTAATCCACTTCGCCAACGTCTCCCCGTAAACGCCCATGCCGTAGCCGAACCGAACATTCTCATGCCGGTGCCGAGGGTCGAGGACGCCGTGGTGGTCCGAGGCCTGCGTCTTTTTTGTCCTTCACAAGGCGGATCATGCCTCTGGTGGGAGGAAGGCTCGCCCTCGTGCAAATGCAGCCCAACAGCGTGGTCAGAGGGCCCGCGGGCTCAAAACGCTTCCAGTCCTTTTCAATGCGAAGAAGCATGGGATCTGAGAAATAACCTTGGTGGCGTGGTGAATGTCCACCGTCGGCGGTTCTGCGTACTTGCGCGGCCCGTCGCCCAGGAGCTCATTCACGCAACTCCATTTACCGACACTACTGCCACACGTGTCCCATGGGGTGTGTGGTGGTGGAGCACGCCCCCAAAGGTGCGCGTGTAGGGCGACGCACGCGTCCCAATGGGCGTGCGCGAAACACGTGCGATGCACGTGGGAAACCACGTCCCAGGGGTGCGCGTGTAGGCCGCGTGAAGAAAAAGAGCTCCCACCAGAGACTTCCTCTCAAAACACAAACAGACGAAGGCTCCCGCTTGACACTTACCCTATAGTCAAGCTTCAGGAGTTTCAAGATGACAAGAATTGAAAATTATCCGATAGGCTGCTCGGATTACAAACACGAAGCGCGGGCCCCAGAGGGAGGGGGATCCCGCAGGAGACCTCCTCGCGATTGGAGAGGGGGGGGGGGCGAGGAGAGGAGCGCAGGGGAAAAGAGGGGGACCAAGGGCAACCGAGGGCCGCGGGCGAGATAGGGGAGAGGAGGAAAAACGCGTGGGTGGCAATTGACGCCATACTGGAAAATTGAAAAGGTGTGGAAGCACGTTGGACCCCTCCCTGCAGCCGCCTTCATTGGCCGAGGGGCTGCAGGGAGGTCCTCGGCCCCCTCCGGTGGCTACTGACGCCAGCATGGCAGGTGCGTGTGGGAACCCACGCAGTCCCTATGATAGAAGCTGCGAGGGGTGTGAGGCTCATCGACGGTCCTCACGGGCGAGGCCTGCTGTACCAATGAGGTCCCTGGCTGATGCCTGGCTCGCTCGATGCACTCTTCGATACAGGGGTGCAGCCCAAGCCGGGACTGCTTGAGCACTGCCTGCTGTCGCAGAAGCCCGGTGACACGTGGATTGCGACACTGACGACGCACTTGAACCTGGGGGGAGCGAGATGGGGTGGGCGAGGCCAAAGGGGCCCTGGGACACACAAATAAACACACGCAAATGCCAGGATTCCCCATATTTTCCAACACTCTCCGGGTGTTCGTCCTTCCCCCAAGCGTCCATCGATTCCCATATCTTCCTGGGGAATCGACGATGGATTGTGTCTGTGTGTTTTGTTGTCCTCCAGAGAGGCAAGGTGCAGCAACATTGGCGCGCTCGCGCCACGTCTGACATGGCCCTGGACACGGTCGAACCCCCAAATCCTCATCCCTTTCTTCGACGCCTGGTGGCTCAGGGCTTCCATGTCCTGACTCGGGCCTCTGGGGGCCGTTCGGAACAACTCAGGCACCCCCACACAGAAACACACACACACACACAGCAAACAAAAAAAAATGGGCGAGGCGCAACTGTTGGTGAGCATTTCGAGGCGACCAGAAGATCGAAGGGCCAACGAAAGAACATCCAGCAAGCACAAAGAAAATTAGGGTACCCTCCCCGAACCGACCTCGATCTTATGCCTCGGTTTGGCTGGATTCATATATACATATACATATATACACGCACGTAGATGTATGAAAAAAACGATGCATTTCTACACATCCGCACCTATATATATATATATATATATATATATATCATATAGTAATGTGTATACATCTGTCTGCATAGGTTCGCCGCCCGCGAGTTGAGGTGTAGGGCGCCCGCAGACCAGCGACGAGTATGAAGCAGCTCACGGAAGCTTCTGATCGTCTCCATGGCGCGCAGTAGCGCGCTCCATCGCGCGCAAATCGGACGCAATGCATCGCCCTCACATGGCGCTGCTGGGCGCTAATGGTCACTATTGGCCGCCATGTTATTTCTATTCGGCAATGCTG